TTTCTGTGTGTGCCGGAGGTCTGAACTCAGGTCCTGCACTGGGTCACGGACACACCCACCATAGTTTCTTTGTGTGTGCCGGAGATCTGAACTCAGGTAGGTCCTGCACTGGGTCACAGACACACCCACCATAGTTTCTGTGTGTGTGCCGGAGATCTGAACTCAGGTCCTGCACTGGGTCACGGACACACCCACCATAGTTTCTGTGTGTGCCGGAGGTCTGAACTCAGGTCCTGCACTGGGTCACGGACACACCCACCATAGTTTCTGTGTGTGTGCTGGAGATCTGAACTCAGGTCCTGCACTGGGTCACGGACACACCCACCATAGTTTCTGTGTGTGCCGGAGGTCTGAACTCAGGTCCTGCACTGGGTCACGGACACACCCACCATAGTTTCTGTGTGTGCCGGAGATCTGAACTCAGGTACTCATGCATGTGTGGCAGTCATTGCCTACTGAGCCACCTCTCCTGGCCCATTGTGCACAGGTTTCTGGAAAACATTCTTGAAGAAAATGTGGGAAGCTTCCTATTCCAACATATGGTTATGGGCCCCTCAAGGGATCCATATGTAGAAAAGGTCTCCATCTGGGTGTGTTGGCACAAGTCTGTGGTCCTAGTACTCGGGAGTAGAAACAGATCTTTATGAGTTCAAGGTAAGCTTGGACTACACAGCAAGATCCAGGCCAGCCATGCTGGACCACTTGTCTTCAGAGGGGAGGGGAGGGTGTGAATAAAACAACTTCTGCTTTACTTAGGTATCTTTTTTAAATTTACATTTCTTGCACATTATTCGTGGAGGTCACAGGACAACTGTGGGAGTTGGTTCTCTCTGTGGCACGCCGCGTCTGCCAGCAGAAGAGACAACCACAACAGGATTCTTCTCAGAACGTACTTTTATTGGGAGCGCACAACTTGAGGTTGATGGTGAAGGACCCCGGACCCTGGCGTGCATGGCTTATATAAGCCGTGCAGAACAAAGCCTGAGACGTGTCCGAGTCTGAATGGCTCTGGCTGCTCCTGATCTTACGCGTCAGCTCACGATTGGCGGCTGGATCGCGCCATTCGGGAAAGCACACCAAGCGCCTCTGGGCGGGGCCGAGGCTGCTTTGGAGGCAGGAAATAACGGCAGGGTTGTGGTGCCTTGGCGCCCTACATCTCCCCCTTATATATATATATATTAATAGACGCCCGGGATGTATCCGATCAGGTCAGAACCTCATGATGCTCCAACCGATCAAGGACAGTGGTTCCGGAGGGAAAGGATGCCAACGCCTTCCCAAGTGCAAGGGCAACAAGGCCGATTGGGGTGCAAAGGCCATTGGCTGCCAACGCCTTCCCGAGTGCAAGGGCAACAAGGCCAATCGGGGTGCAAAGGCCATTGACTTTCTGCAAGAGCCCCATCCTACCAGGTGCAATGACAACAATGTCACTGGGTACAAGGGCTGAGGCCTCACAAATCCCTCTTAAGGCTGGCAAGCCATACCTGGGGGGAGACGCCCTGATCAATCGCTGCCAGTGCCTGAATGATCACAGCTTTATCTCGAGCCTGTCGCGCTCGGAGACGGTACAGTAGCCACAGACACAGGAAAACGCCTAGGCATATTAAAGCGCCAAACAATCCCACCCCAACCCATAGAACTGAAGTCAACCAAGAGGTCAGTTCTTTGAGGGTGACAGGATCAACACGGGTTCCATTAAGTTCAGCAATTTGGACCAGCTGCTGCTGAATGAGTTGTTCTGCCTCTCGCGACCAGTTTCCAGCTAAATAGTCTCCCAGCCTTTTGCTCTTATTTCCTGCATCAATAAATCTCAAAGGGGTTATGCACATATGTTTCATTTGTGAAATGCATCCTACTTGTATCAAACTATTTAATTCCTCTACTTGTACTTGCACTAAATCTATTCTTTGATTAGCTGCCACAATGCCTGACAGCAAGTGTTTGTTAACCACATTCTGGGTCTCGAGGACCCTAGATGTTTGTTCCACAACTTTGTTAATGGTTTGTGCCGTTTGCACTTGATTGGCCATAGCCACTGCCGCAGTTATAGCGCTGCCTGCAGAAAAGACTATGGCAGGCACTACTGCCGAAGTAATACCAAAGTCCCTACGTTCCCTTAGCAAGGTCATCAGCGGAAAAGTATCCGGATCTACTTCCCCTGGAATGGGAACTATAGTAGGCACTTTCATGACCACTGCAGTTGGCCAGGTATTATTCCAGCATTCTGCAAGCCAGCATTGATCTTCAGCACAATTTACAATGTGATTAGTGGAACTCACAAGTAAAAACGCAAAAGGTGCCTGTACACACACCTCAGCCCTGGAATAAATGGCGTTAGACTTCTCTCCATTAACAGTGATATTATATAATCGCCCAGTTTTTACTGTTCCTGAGATGTTAAGCATTTTATGTACTACGTCATCGGTCTGGGCCAAGGCAGAAATATCAGACACGGCACCGGCTTCATTAGAGACAAGCCATTGAAACCAAGGCCAACCATCTCCAACACTTGAAGCATTTCCTCTTCCCCATACAAATCGCTTTAGTGGGGGTGACATAGTAAAACCCTCACTGATTTTTTCTCCCACGATTTGCTTTGGCATATGGTAAAAACCGGGGGAAATGAGGTATCTGGTTCACAATGGGGCGAAGCTGTAAATTGAGTGCCAATCTGGGTCCCATCATAAAGTTGGGGTATGCGTGCAGTGCTTGTAATGGCTAGGGTGGTAATATTTACTGTGTTTGAGCCATTTTCATCACTGCCGCTGCCTGTATGCCGTCCTTGAGTATCCTGTGTCAGGACGGAAAATATCGTTCTGACAGAGACCCTAGAATTCTGAAGAGGATTTAACCAGGCAGTAATATTTCTCTTCCTTAATAAAATACAATTGGCATTGTTCAGGGAAAAACAATAGGAGCCTAACAAGTTAATCTTAGAAGCATTGAAGCATTGCGGATTACCACCAATAGGAATCATGCAGGGCACATCCATATCACAGGATGTAGGAAAAAATTACCGGAAGTGCACTGGAATTAGCATGCACTGGCATCGGGATGGGCCAGGTTCTGGTCACTGCCCACAGCGTCATCTTCTTGGTGATGATTGTGCGGCTCACCATCAGGCTCAGCACTATTATGAAGGTCTTCATGGCGTAGCACTCAAGTCAGTCTTTCCGGCACCCAAACAGGATTGTCTTGGTCCTGTGGAAAGACACAAACAGCTCCCCTGGATCTGGCTATAACCGGATCCGGGCCTTTCCATGTGTTATCCAACATATCTTTCCATTTTACAGGAGGAAATTTTATCTGAATCGGATCCACATGCCTACAGGCAGCGGATTGTTCTTTATCATTGACAATCAGAAAATTTAAAGTAAAGAGCGCAATAGATAGTTTGTTCTTGGGAGAGTAGCCTTCTGCTATTCCCCCTTTTTGTTTTTGTATGAGTTCTTTCAGGAATCGGTGAGCTCGCTCCACCACACCTTGACCCTGGGGATTATATGGTAGGCCCGTGACATGGGTCACCTGCAGTTGCTTACAAAAGACTTGAAAACCTTTCGAAGTGTAGCCAGGGCCATTATCCGTTTTAAGAATCCTGGGTTTTCCCCAGGCTGCCCAAGCTTCCACACAGTGTGTAAGAATATTAGCCGTTTTTTCTCCCGATAGAGGGGAGGCATGGATAATGCATGAGCAGGTGTCGACAGACACATGAACATACTGTAATCTTCCAAAACAAGAAATATGTGTAACATCCATTTGCCACATCTCACCAGGTCGCAACCCTCTAGGATTGACCCCACTATGAGGCGGATGTTGGAAGGTTACACAAGAGGGACAGGAAGTCACAATCTCCCTGGCAACATGGCGTGGTATTTTAAACTTTAAGCACAAAGTTCTAGCTGGAACATGATATAATTGATGGAACTGTTTAGCGAGTTTCGGGTCAGTTAGGACTGGCAAAGCTAGGGTCCTAGCAGCAGTATCTGCCAAGGCATTATGTTCTGCCATAGGGCCTGGAAGGAGAGTATGAGCTCTTATATGTTCAATATAAAAAGGTTGTGTTCGCTGCCTAATGAGGCTGCAGAGTTCAATCAAGATGCTTGCCACAGGACTTTTTGGGCTGATATCTGCAGCTATTTCAAGGTGTTGAACTACATTGACAACATAATGCGAGTCAGAGATCAGATTAAACGGCTCCAAAAATGTTTTAAAAACGTGGCAGACTATGCGGCATTCCACAATTTGAGGTGCCTCTGGTTCAAACTGAACAATAACTGGGTTCTCTCCAAGCACTACATAGGCTCCTTGGTCACTTTTGGAACCATCTGTATAAATGTCTTTGACTCCTGCCAAGGGCTTGGCGGAGGTAATTTTGGGAAAAATAACTGGGTGATGGGTTACAAACTGTAATAAGGGACTTTTAGGATAATGGTTATCTATTTTTCCAGAAAAGCTACAAAGAAGAACAGCCCAATCATCTACTGTAGCCCCTAGAACGTGAATTTGGGATGGAGTGTATGGTACAAGCAGAACATGTGGGAAAATGCCAAAATGCAATACAGCTGACTTAAGACCTTGTAATGCTAAATTCGCCACAGCAGTAGGGTAGTGTTCAACTGTTTTTTGTGGGGAAGCATGTGCATGAATCCAGAGTAATGGGCCCTTCTGCCATAAAACAGCAGTGGGCTGCAGGATGGTGGGAAGAACACAAAGATATAATGGTTCGGTAGGCACTATGCGTGTCAGATACGCTGTTTCAATGGCCTTTTCTACCTTATTGATCACTTCCCATGCCTCTGGGGTTAAAATGCGCGGGGACATAACCCTGGGGTCTCCTTCCAGAATGGCAAATAATGGTTTAAGCTCGGCTGTAGTTATAGGCAAATATGGCCTAAGCCAATTAATATCTCCTAGCAACTTTTGAAAATCATTTTCAAAATGATTTTCTCATTTTGATCTGAATTGATCAAATGAGTCTCCAATTGATCTGTCCTGAGCTGAATCTTCTGCGGCTGAATCTGAGTTGATGAAAGAAGGGCTCCCAAAAACTTCCCCACTTCGTCCCTCTGTACCTTTTCGGGGGCTATAACTAGGCCTTTGTTCTCTAGATCCTTAATGTACATAAGCTTCTTCCAGCAACAGCGACGTTGGTGCAGCTATTCATATGTCATCCATATAATGACAAACCCGGATGTTGGGATATTTCAGGCATGCTGGATTAAGAGCCTGTCCAACAAAGAGCTGACACATAGTGGGACTGTTGGCCATCCCCTGTGGTAAGACACACCACTGAAATCGTGCATCTGGTTGTTCATGATTGACAGAGGGCAATGTAAAGGCAAAACGGCAACAGTCTTCCTTTGCCAAGGGTATTGAGAAAAAACAGTCCCTAATTTCAAGTATGATTACGGGCCAATCAGCAGGGATACTAGAAAGGATTGGTAAGCCCCACTGTACTGGGCCCATAAGCTGCATTTTCTGATTAACCGCCCTAAAGTCATGCAACAATCTCCACTTGCCTGATCTCTTTTTTATCACAAATATGGGCATATTCCAAGGTGATTGAGAGGGTTCAAGGTGACCTGCAGCTAGCTGTTCTTGGACTAATTCCTGGGCAGCAAGCAGTTTTTCCTGGGAGAGGGGCCACTGGGGGATCCAGACTGGGGTGGAGGTAGTCCAAGGTATAGGAATTCCATCCCCAGTGGCCCCTACGAAAAACCCAGCCCTCTACGATCTATGTTTCCTTGTGCCTCTATAGGTTCCGTCATGCCTTGGAGACATTTTCCAAGCCCTTTTCCTGGTACAAATCCTGAACTCATCATAATATTTTTGCTAGCTGAAGAATATTCAGTAGACAGCTTCATGTCCATTTGGCTTAACACATCTCTTCCCCAGAGGGTAATGGGAAGATTCACCACAAAGGGTTGGAATCTCCCCTTTTGTCCCTCACTAAAGGACCAGGTTAATTCCTTTGCACTTATTTCTGGAGCCTGGGCATAGCCCAAGCCTAGTAATGTTTGGGAGGATGACTGCAGCGGCCAGCGTTTAGGCCAAGAGCCTTTGGCTATAATGCTACGGTCGACTCCAGTATCCAACAGTCCAGATAATGTCCTCCCTTCTATCTTTAAATCTATTATCGGATGGTTGTCAAGTGTTAACAAAAGACATGCCAGATCAACCCCGGTGGAGCCAAGGCCCCTATCACCTCTACACTTATCCTTAGCGGGGAAGCTAGCATGCAGACTTGGTAAAATTATTAATTGGACTATCCGATCCCCTGGAGAGATCGCTGTTATACCTCGAGGGGAAGCACACAATAGTTTTACAACTCCTTCATAATCAGGATCTATGACTCCTGGAGTAATGACCAATCCCTTCAAGGCAGACGAGGATCTGCCAAGGAGCAGACCCACCGTGTCGTTGGGTAATGGGCCTTTAAAATCTGACTCTACTGGCTGTACTCCCATTCGAGGTGTTAATACCACTTTGGAGGTGGCACAGATGTCCAGCCCTGCGGAGCCTGAGGTTGCTCTCCTGGCTGTGATGAGGGGGCGAAATGACGGGTTCTGCAGTGCCCCATATATTTGTGGGCCCTGGGGACGGGGGCCCCTGTTCCCATTTTTTGGCTCTTGAGGTGTTGTAATGGGCTGCCCATGCATTTGCCCAATGTTTCCCTTTCTTACACCTAGGGCAAACATCCAGCTTGTGGTTTCCTGTTTTGCTCCCCCCTCCATTGTTTGGACATTGTTTCTTGTAATGTCCTTCCTGCCCACACCAAAAACATCTGCCACACCCTTTACCAACTGTTTTTGCAGCTGCCAACA